CTAATAAACCCTTAATATGATAGAATACAAAATGGGTTTTGGAGGAATTGTGAGAACTATGCTTAAAGTTCTGTCTCTAAACTGACATTTATAAACAAATAAAAGTAGGATTCCAATTAATTTACAACATTCTAAACTTCTTTAACCTGTTTAGAATTTTCAGTAGTTTCAATCAATTTTTACAGAGCTTCCTTAAGTACCATCACTGCATGTTGTCAGCCAATCGATGCAAAAATGTACCTGCCTTCGAAAGCTGTGCTTCAGAAACCATGCGAATTATCTGTGACAATGTTGAGGACTGTCCGACTTGGGTGGCTTCAATCAACAGCAGACCATCCTGGTTAATAGAGCCGCCCAAAACTGTAGAGCCTAAAATTAATTCATGTAATATTTGAAGTCAATAATTAAAAAAGCTTACCCTCTGTCTTTACCACTGGCATTGACTCTCCAGTAAGAAGGCTTTCATTAACAGATGAATATCCAGAGATCACGCGCCCATCGACAGGTATTGAAGCCCCAGGAATGATCTACGTGATCGTTATTAAGTTTTTAAACTCGTATGCAAATGGATAAACGCACTTACACAAAGACAGGATGAAGCCGAAAGTAGCCGCAGGCAAAAATACAGATTATTCAGACTACGTCACCACCACCATCTTGACTAATCGCTTCTAGCTTCATAATGTGATTTCACTTGCATGAAGTAATGTAATGGAGGCTCAACAAAAGCCATGTGCTGCATGCCTCAAGGAGAGGATTCCAAAGGAGGAGCAAACGCTATTCAAGTACTGAACAGACAACACGTCGTTCACTCCTGCTACAGATCAAAAGAAGCGCGAGACGCTACCGTTGGAACATCAGTTAGAAAATCATTCGTTTCCTACAGCGCGAATATCAAAGGTATTGCGGAACGCTGCTTATGGCCGAAGTTGAACATCATGACCGGAAGAAAGACAATTGCTAGTGGGGACAGCGGCATCAACTGAAGGTCATTTGATGTTCCTGCACATATTGCGGCTGATATCTCATAATAACCACGGTTTTTGTGCATGCTTAGCGATGTTGCTCTACACAACGATGTTGAGAGCTGAAGATTCAGCAGCAAGGAAGTTCACGGAAAGATTGGCTGGTGTCACTACCACAATTAGTAAAAATTAAACAATGCTATTCTTCATCCTTGAACGAAGAATGAAGTTATTCAATTATTGCATGCTTTCGACGGCGCGAGGCTTCAATCAGGATTTACATAGAATCGGATTCATTTATTTGTCCTAGCCTCGAGTTCACCTAATAGTATTTAATTATCAGTAACACTAAAACATCTAGTAATGCAAGCTGAATGCTAATGGTTAGCCTCTGTGAAGAAACAATTAATTTTCAAAGAACGAAATAGAAGCAGGGTTAAAGATCGTGGCAAGGACCCATAAGACTTGACGATACGCTTGCGATGTTACTGCCGACATCGGACATCACACAGGCTTGATCGTCGCCCGGGTTACCAAGAACAGCGCAGGCTGTTGGAGGAGTGAAGGGCTGTCCGGAAAGTTCGACAATCAGAAGCTGTTCATCGCCTTCTGGAAGCTGGGGGCGAAGCACAGCGACAATCACTGCCGAAGATCGACAAAACGACGATAACAGGTTCAGAAAAAAAGGAGGTAAAGAGTCCGATGATATTATATCTGGTCAGAAAATGATTCACGGTAGAAATATTGACAGTGGAAGCTTACGGTCTGAAATTGGAATATATCCTCACCCAGACGGTAAAAACAGGAGTTAGTTGATGAGACCGTAAAGTACCAACGCAGTACCAACATAAATGGACTCCTGTGAACGAAGCGCAAGACTCTGGAATCCTGAAACTATGCGAGTGGAAGCAACTGCCGGAAATTCGAATATGTCCTCTCTCAGAGAAAAATGCAAGAGTTCGTTGATGAGGCCATAGGGAACTAACTCGACAGAGTTGGGCTTTCCTCAACGAAACGCCAAAGCTCTGGAATCCTGAACCTCAGCGGGAGGAAGCAGTTCTACTCAGTTGTCGATATGACGACGCGTGCTCAGGCAAGTGCAGGTGTTCTAACACAGCCTAGCTGCCAGAATCCTGAATGGAAGCCACCCAGCTGAAGAGTGTCAATTCTCTCACTGAGGCCACAACAACCTTATGTTTATCCATTGTTACAGGAATATGCGCCCAGTTTGGAAGGATAATATGAATCCTCCATTGAGAAGTAGAGCTTGCTCTGTACGAAGTGCCAAAATAGAGTCTCTCACACTAATGCGCAAGTCAAAGCAGATGCTGAAAAGTGCAAAGGCGCGATTGGAAGGAACGTTATGAACTGTATTTTACACGAAGGAAAGAACGTCCTTTATATGTTATGAAAGAATGTCATTAACCATGAATTCTATTTTAGTAGAAAGCCCTCTTCGAGCATCGAAGAGTGGATCAGTATATTTGGTACAAGGAAGCATGTCCAAAATAGTCGACGATCGATTTGACAATCGTATCGACACGAGAGATACAACTGGCAGTTAAAGAGAAGAAGGCTGCATTCAAGAAATGACTTTGAAACAATTAGCCTTCTACTCGGGTGCGATATGTCGAAGCATGCAAGGCGGCACCAAAAGCAGAGGTGTAAGCCAAAGGTGATTCCTGGGAGAAGTTCGGTGAGGCATTGGACTCGAATTTTCACACGGCAAACAAGGTATTTTCGCAGACCATCCAGCGGCTCTGAGGTGAAAAGAAGGACATGTCTAGAATCTTGAAGGACATGTCTAGACACACTCTTACCAAGGGCAAGGACATTCTCCGGCGATGGAGAGAGTTCTTTGAGGAACTCCTTAACACTGAGCAACCGCAAGAAGACTAGCCTGTAGAGCAGCAGGAAAAGAATTTTACTCTCTCTGTGAATAAAATTACACAAGCTGTGAAACGCTTGAAAAATGGAAGGGCTGCTGGAATTGATGAAATCCGCCCTGAAATGCAAAAGGAATTAGGGGGACAAGGTATGTGCTAGCTTGCCTGTGTCTGTCAAATTGCAACGATTACGGTAAAGACACCAACGGACTGAAGAACGGGAGTTACTGTATCTTTTTTCAAGAAGGGAACCATAGGGAATGCTCCATATCTAGGGGCAT